CAGTGCCAGAAAGAAAGGAAGGAAGGCCATGTCATTTATTTTGGAGTCTGATCCATACAGAACTCCATGCCCTGGGGCCTGGTGCTCAAGAGCTACCTGGTGACAATTAGCAGCAAGAGAACCAGTCTCACCTCCGTCCCCACCCCCACCTGTGTGGAGACAACCAGGATCCCACAAGGTAAAAAAAAAAAAAAAATGAGCCAGGGGGCTGGGAAGGTGGCTCAGTGGTAGAGCGCTTGCCTTGCATGCCTGAGGCCCTGGGTTTGATTCCTCAGCACCACATAAGCAGAAAAAAGAAAAGCCAGAAGTGGCGCTGTGGCTCAAGTGGTAGAGAACTAGCCTTGAGCTGAGGAGCTGAGGGACAGCGCCCAGGTCCAGAGTTCAGGCCCCATGACCGGACCCCCCCCCCAAAAAAAAAAAAAAGAAAAGAAAAAACAGCCAGAAGAATAAGGAAGGGTGCCACAAGCTGGGTGAGGGCTGTGAGGAACAGGTGAGCCAGGGGTGGGGGTGGGGCGCCAGAGCCTGGCCTCCCATGCCCAAGGATTGGTCTGCTTCCCTTGGCAGATGAGGAGCCGGAGGCCCAAGCCAGGATGAGAGGGGGCCGCATTCATTCATTCACCCTGCACTGTCTCACACACTGCCCCCTAGCGGTAACGAGATGGGGCAGAGCACTGGACATAGGCCCAGGGGACCCCACGGGGCGCAGGCCCAGCTGTGGGGTGTCACCTGACATTCCTGAGTCAACTCTCTGCTTCTGCTGTCCCCGCCCCCTCCTTCCTTTGTGGGCTTGGGACCGCAATTCAGAATGACCCAAGCAAGGGAGGAGTCAGGCTTGTGTCCTCAGAGAATGAAGATGGTGAAACAGAAAGAGGAATGGATTGGGCCTGGGACAGCAAACTCAGAAAGAAATCCTGCTTCAGACTTAGCAGAATCCAGGCCTCAGATGGTGTATATACCCATGTACCCACTGGCCCATCTCCCACAATGCCTCTCTTCTGTGCTGGAGGGCAGCAGGGCCTTCCTCATCCTTATTGGAACCAATGAACCCAGTCAGCCAATTAGAAAAAGTAGGCTTATGTATGGACCAGTCACACCAGAGCAACCTGGATTACCCTGGCCAATCACTGAGGCCTGGGACTGAGCAGCTTAGGCTTAGATTGGTTTAGGTCTGAGAGTGTAGACTAGCCTTAGCCCTCTGAGGCTGGTACCTGTGCACCAGGGATGGAGAGAAAAGAATCTTCAAATGAAAACTAGGAGTGAAAGCCGGGGCCGGTGGCTTACGCCTGTCATCCTAGCTACTCAGGAGGCAGAGATCTGAGGATCATGGTTCAAAGCCAGCCTGGGCAGGAAAGTCCATGGGAGTCTTATCTCCAATGAACCACCAGAAAACTGGAAGTGGCGTTGTGGCTCAAGTGGTAGAGCACTCGCCTTGAGCTGAAGAGCTGAGGGGCAGCGCCCAGGCCCAGAGTTCCACCCCCATGACCATCAGAAAAAAGAAAATTAGGAGTGAGAGAATGCTGGGTGGCCCACACCCAGCTAGCAACACTGGGCAACACAGATTGGGCACTTTCTGTATACAGTCTGCTCTGAACTTCTGTCACTTGCTCCTCATCCAGGAAGTGAGACCCACACCCATGCATCCAGGCTCCAGACCCCATCTGCCTGCTGTGGTCCCCCCATTCCCTCGGGAGCACGTCATGTGTTTGCTGCCTTCCTCTGCTCCACCAGCCCCACCAGGGCACAGGGTTTTGTCTGGAATCATTTTCACTGGACCTGAAGCAGCCATGGCCCAGAGCCAGCGTTGAGACCCTAGTGTGAGTTCCGCAGCCTCTGCGCATCCGGCAGCGTTAACTCGATGCTCAGCTTCTGAAACTGAGATCCGTTCCGGATTCTGAGCGCTCCAGGTGATCTACAGTTTGCTACAGGTCACCAGAGGTTGACTTTATTTCTCGTCCTGTGCCTTCTCCCTTATCTGGCCTGGAAGTAGTCTTTCATCCCTTTGTTGAGCGGCTGGAGTTTGGGGTCCCTAAGGGTGGGGACACGGCGCAGAGCAGGGCCTGGAGGGGACTTGGACCAAGTCTCCTGGCATCTAGGCCATGGGCCTGGGTCACCAGGCTGAGCTCCGGCCTCCTTGACACCCGTAGTCACCACAGCCTTGCTTCCTGACTCTCCACAGACCTCTCTGCCCCCCTGGTGGGACTCGGGGGGCCCTTAGAGGAAAGCAGCCCATCCAGGTTTTCCCAGCTGCCCTGCACAGGGCCCTAAGAGTTCCCCACAGCTGTAAAGCACGGGACCAGTCTCCAGTCACCCTGACACCCGCCCTTGACATTTGGTTCCTGAGATTGGGCATGTCTGCACGTGTGTGGGACATTTCGAGCCTCCAGCTGGGACCTGATGGCGTTGCCAACGCCTGGGGGGGGGGGGGGGGAGACAGTGAAGAGGGGACTGGGAGGAGCGCCGTTCTTGGAGTAGGCAGAAGGACGTGGGGGGGGGTGGCATGGCACAGATTCACCAAGACTGTCAGTTCAGCCGCTCTGAGTATTTACCAAGAAGGGAAAAAGAGGCAGAATAGAATCCCTTGTGTCATTTCTAATTGATTTCTTGGGCACCAGAGAGAGGCTGGCACGAGGCCAGGAGGAGTCTGAGCCCGGGGAATTCATCAGAAGCAGACGTGCCCATGACTTGGGCTGATGGGATAATTAGCTCCTATTACCCCGTGGCCTCAGAGCTCCGGCTGCATCCTCGGAAGGGAGAGCAGGTGCCCTGGTGGCAGGCGGCCCCCGCCCTGCCCGGCCTTGCCTGTGAGCAGGGGCTCTAAGACCAGCCTGGAGCCAGGACTAGCTGCTGGGGACCTCAGCCCAGCCCAGTCCTCACCCGGAACAGCAGTGTTCTGTCCCCACTCCGCCGCATCACGGTGGCACTCAGAATGGAGGCTGGGAGAAGCTGGGGAACTTGCTGCAGGGGCTTGGGTCAGACCTGGCCAGCCTGGCTTTGAACCACTTCTGTGCCAAATGATCTTGGGGAAATGAGTGAAGTCTTCCTTCCTTGATCTCCAGATCCTGAGGTGGGCGGCTTGCATGGTGGCGGACGTGGCACCCCCGGGGGCATTGCTGTCATTGGCTCTGGGGTGACAGGGCCACTGCTGATGTAGACGTCCCCGGGGCATTATGTCACCTCATCTCCGTGCTGGGTACTGCAGGGCGGCGTGGCAAGTCAGGCTGGCTTGGTAGATGCACACTCGGCTCCTAGTGTAAACCTAGAGCTTCTACCTCGCGTCCCAAGATGGCCATAGGCCACTGATAGACGCTGTAGCTGGGGGCTGGGTCTCCCTTCTCCCCTTCCCCAGCCTCCCTGTCCCTTTCCAGAGACAAGAGCTCCCGAGGGGCAAGCCCGGGGGCAGGCTGGCCTTGTGTGGGAAGAGCTGTGCTCATGGGGTGACCGCCTTCTAGCTCCTGATTCTGAGATGTCAGCCTGACAGGAAGGCCCCCCCCCCTTCCACTTAGGCTAGAAGAATGTTTTATTTTTTTACTCCCCACGAATGCATATGTGTGTTTTTGTTTTGAAAATGAGGCCATTTCAAGAAACTTGTTAAGTAAATATGGGTTGGAGGGGGCGGGAGTCTGGATGCCGCTGTTAGAGCGGAGGATGCCGGCAGCTGGGGGAGCCGGTGTCTGGGGGACCGTGACTAGCCTCAGTTTCCTCAGCTGTAAAGTGTGTTTGGGGGGGCGGCAGAGGCAGGGTGGCCGTGGAGAATGGTGTAATGGTGACCGTGTGGTGGTGAGCTTGCTTAGTCCCTGGTTCCTAGTTGGCAGAGGAGAAACTGAGGCACAGATAGGCAGTTCCAAGCCTGATGTCACTCAAAAAGTCACCCAAGAGAATACACTGGGTGTTCCAAGACGTCCCAGAGCAGCAGCTCAGGCTGGCGTGAGACGTGGGTTTTAGCAGCGTGACACTCTGTTCCCAGACCCCTGGACCACTGCTCCCCAGCGCTAGGGTGCAGCCAGGGCTGCAGGTAAGGAGGCCCTTGGTCACCTCCCCACAGAGACCAAGGTGACACAAAGCTTGGGGAGCGGACAAGAGGGTCACACCTAGGATGGCAGCGGGGACCGGCCATCGGCTGCCACCCAGGAACCAGCGCCCCCTGCACGAGGTCCTGAGAGCCATGCCCTGCGTGCGGAGTCAGGGCTGACTCACCTTAGGATGTCCTTCAGCTGCCAGGGACTGGAGGGGGGAGGGGGAGGGGATCCCTTAGGTGCAGCTGCCACCGCCCAGCCCAGGGGACCAGGGGTCCTGCCGAGGACCCCGGGCAGAGCTTTGGGGTGCCAGGGTGGTGCATCCTGCCTCGGTGGCATTTGATCTCCTCCTCCCTCCCTCCCTCCCTCCCTCCCCCCCCCCCTGTCTCAATGAGACTGGCCAGGACCAAAGCTCATTTCCTCAGGAAGGGGACAAAGAACTGACTACCCACAGAGGGTGCTGCTGGGGTCCTGTCCCCGCCTTCCACATAGCAGCCTCTGATTGGCTGGGGCCATGGTGGAATGTGTGACCATCTTCCACCTTTAGCCCTCCGCATCCTCCTTTGTTATCTTCTGTGTTCTTCCACTTAAAATGGAAGTGAGTCCTGCTACCTGGCTGTAGCGTCCCTTGACAAGGGGCAGCTCCTCCCCTCCCATGGTTCTGGGTTCTAACTGTACATGGGGAAACGGAGGCTCCTCCCTCCTGTGCTTATGGAGAAGCAGGTCTAGGTCAGGAGTGCACAGCCCGAAGCAACCAGGCGCCTCTCCTGCCTGGGCTGCCTGAGCCCCTCTGTCCATCCCTGGTGGGACATGGCTTCCAGATGTCTCCACCCCCCACCTGTGTGGGGAGGGAGAGCGGAGGGGATGGGCAGGGAGGGAGGGTTGGGGGGAGATCAGCCTGTGTCAGGCCCTGGTCCCAGGCTGCCCCTGTGCAACGGGTGGGAAGACCCCAGTGGCAGTGCTGACCTGAGTCTTGTTCTCCTCCAGATCTCCGGCAGGAGGACAGAGAGAACCCCTGCGAGGCAAACCTTCCCCAAAGCGTGGGGTCCGCGGGAGACCGGGATGGCGCCACTGGGCCTGGCACGCTGGCTGCTGTCGGCCGCCCTCTTCTCCCTGCTGGGCGGGAGCATGGCCTTCCTGTCCCATCACCGACTGAAGGGCCGCTTCCAGAGGGACCGCCGGAATATCCGGCCCAACATCGTGCTGGTGCTGACCGATGACCAGGACGTGGAGCTGGGTGAGCATCTGGGCCCCAGGAGGCCGCCAGGGCCAGGCAGCTCCGGGTCTGCCCACCACGGGCCGGGCAGCCCGAGCGGCTGGTCCTTGAGGTGTACACCATCGCTGGTCCCCATTCCTCCAGCTCATTATTATCCATTCACGAGCCACCATGGCTGCACCCTGGACCATCATCTGAGCCGCCCCATGGCTCCCCACAAAGCCAGGCCACAGGCCCCGCTACATGCACTGAGGTCTCCTGCAGGAGGCCCTTTGCTATGTTTCCATGAACACGAGGAAGAGATCCCCACTCTTGGGGCCACTACAAGGCCCATGCCAGCTCCTCTGTTGCACACGTGGTTGCGAGGAGCAACGTGGTTTCACACTCACCTGTGAAGGTCTCCCCTGACTGAACCCCCTTCCTCCTGACTTGGGTCTCCTTCCATGGAACCATCCACCCTGGCCAACACCCCCCTTAGATGCACCTGTGCCTATGACTCTGAGTCTAGAAGTCCAGCCAAAAGGATCTTGGGAAATCGCATCTGTACGGAACACGATACAGGCATTCACGGGGTGTGCGTGTGTTGTGTTGCACTCAGTGAGGCATCTAGAGATGGAGAGGGTACTGGTTCTGTGCAGATTCTGCGCCCAGTCATACTGGGGCTTCCAAGGGCCCCCGGAATCCATCCCCTGTGGATACTGCGGGGTGATGGAAAATGAGAACCCCAAATGCAAATGTCATTTTACATTTCCTAGTAGCTATGTCTTTTTATAGATACGTACATATATCTATGTACGTATATATGTAAAAGCAAAAAAGAAACTAGTAAGATTTTTAGCTGTAAGGAGGTTTTGTGTCATTCACTGTGTTCCCAGCATTCTCTGCTATTACTAACCTAAGGGACTGGCTGTGAAATGTGCTGCCCGCCTGAGGACTCGCAGGTCCTTACTGTGTCTTTTATACCCAGAGCAGGTCCCCCGTAGGACCAGCACCTCTGGGGACTCAGTAGCCACCAAGACGACCGTGCCAGGCAGTGCCCGAGGAAGGAAGGTGGAGGTTGAGGCTGGGGCGAGGAGGTCAGATCTGAGGCTCCAGCGAGTTGTAGCAGGGAGACAGCCACTCATCAATCAGGTGAGGGGCGGCCCTCCGCCTCTGTCCACTGGCAAAGGACAAGAGAGGGTTATTGGCGGCAGCAAATCAGAAGGTTTACCTAGTAAATCAGTCCTTTAGCCACCCAGGGAAGGGAGATGGTTTATGTGAAGCCCTGTTGCTCCTCGCAACGACGTGTGCTAAAGATCACTAGTATAGATTTTTCATAGGGAGTTTATCAGTGCAAAGAGAATTTCAGCCAGGAAGCAATCAGAGCCCAGAGCTTCATTGACAGCTTGACACCTAGCACCCATCTCCCCCGGCAGAGTCTGATAATTGAGGAGTCAGAGACGCAGACGCGGCTGTCTGGGGGACGAGGGGGAGCTGCGTTGCCCCTGGGCCTTGGCCCCTCTCACTTTGTGTGTCTGGGGACTCGTGCGTCTGCACCTCCGTCGGCTCATCCAGCACACTTTTACGGGGCATCTGCTCCAGGCAGTGCACCGTGCCAGTAGCTGGGGAGCTGGGGGAGGGGACGGGCTGATGATGGAGAGAGGCCTGCAGCTGCTGGGGTCAGGTGAGGCAGTGCCTGGTGGCCAAGTGTTTGAATGAATGAAGGAAGAAGGAAGGAATGACAGGGTCTTGTCAAGTAGCCAAGGCCTAGAACTGGCCTGATCCTTTTGCCTCAGCCTCCTGAGTGCTGGGATGACAGGTGTATGCCGGCACACCTGGCTTTAAGTATTCTTTTTTTGTTTGTTTTTTGATCATGGGGCTTGAGCTATGGGCCTGGGTGCTGTCCCTGAGCTCTTCAGCTCAAGGCGAGAGCACTCTACCACTTGAGCCACAGCGCCACTTCCGGTTTTCTGATGGTTCATGGGAGAGAAGAGTCTCAGGGACTTTGCCTGGGTTGGCTTTGAACCGTGATGCTCAGATCTCAGCCTCCTGAGTAGCTAGGGTTACAGGCGTGAGCCACTGGTGCCTAGCAAGTGTGTCAGGGTGTGAGCTGCGTGTGTCAGGCCGTGGATGTGACAGGGTGTGAGCTGTGTGTGTCAGGCTGTGGATGTGACAGGGTGTGAGCTGTGTGTGTCAGGCCGTGGATGTGACAGGGTGTGAGCTGCGTGTGTCAGGCCGTGGATGTGGCAGGGTGTGAGCTGTGTGTGTCAGGCCGTGGATGTGGCAGGGTGTGAGCTGCGTGTGTCAGGCTGTGGATGTGCAGGGTGTGAGCTGTGTGTGTCAGGCCGTGGATGTGGCAGGGTGTGAGCTATGTGTGTCAGGCCGTGGATGTGGCAGGGTGTGAGCTGTGTGTGTCAGGCTGTGGATGTGGCAGGGTGTGAGTGTGAGCTGTGTGTGTCAGGGTGTGAGCTGTGTGTGTCAGGCCGTGGATGTGGCAGGGTGTGAGCTGTGTGTATCAGGCCGTGGATGTGGCAGGGTGTGAGCTGTGTGTGTCAGGCCGTGGATGTGGCAGGGTGTGAGCTGTGTGTGTCAGGCCGTGGATGTGGCAGGGTGTGAGCTGTGTGTGTCAGGCCGTGGATGTGGCAGGGTGTGAGCTGTGTGTGTCAGGCTGTGGATGTGGCAGGGTGTGAGTGTGAGCTGTGTGTGTCAGGGTGTGAGCTGTGTGTGTCAGGCCGTGGATGTGGCAGGGTGTGAGCTGTGTGTGTCAGGCCGTGGATGTGGCAGGGTGTGAGCTGTGTGTGTCAGGCCGTGGATGTGGCAGGGTGTGAGCTGTGTGTGTCAGGCCGTGGATGTGGCAGGGTGTGAGTTGTGTGTGTCAGGCCGTGGATGTGGCAGGGTGTGAGCTGCGTGTGTCAGGCTGTGGATGTGGCAGGGTGTGAGCTGTGTGTGTCAGGCCGTGGATGTGGCAGGGTGTGAGCTGTGTGTGTCAGGCTGTGGATGTGGCAGGGTGTGAGTGTGAGCTGTGTGTGTCAGGCTGTGGATGTGGCAGGGTGTGAGCTGTGTGTGTCAGGCTGTGGATGTGGCAGGGTGTGAGCTGTGTGTGTCAGGCTGTGGATGTGGCAGGGTGTGAGCTGTGTGTGTCAGGCTGTGGATGTGGCAGGGTGTGAGCTGTGTGTGTCAGGCTGTGGATGTGGCAGGGTGTGAGCTGTGTGTGTCAGGCTGTGGATGTGGCAGGGTGTGAGGGAATGTGTTCAGTGTCCGCTCTGTCGCACACTGGCCACACCTCCTCTCTCCCCTCCCCCTCCCCCCCCCTCCCCCCCCCCCCCCCCCCCCCCCCCGCAGTGGCCCACCTTTGGCTTCGGCAGGACTGAAGCACCGGTCACCTCCTCAGCCTTTTTGGGGGTTGTTTTGGAGGTTTTTTTATATTTACTTTTTCAGGTGGGGTCTTGTGTTTTTCCTCAGAGCTGCCCTCAGACCATCCTTCTCCCTCTACCTCCATGTCGCTGAGATTACAAGCCTGCGCCACCGTGCTACTTCCTTTGTGGTTGAGATGGGGCCCCACGAACATTTTGCCTCTGCTGGCTTTACACCACCTTTCTTCCAGCCTTTGCCTCCAAAGTAGCTGGGATTACAGGTGGGAGCTACTGCATCCGGTCTCCCACCTCCCCCTCCACCTGGCTTTCGAGGCAGGCCCAGCCTCTCTCTGCCAGGTGAGAGATGGGAAGGAAGGAATCAGAGGGCTGCTGTGCTTTTTATAAACCACGAGACAGACCCAGATCAATAATGCACGCTCCAAAAAAACCCAGCACATTAGCTCACAGTCTGCTACAACTGCCAGGCAGAGGGTGGTCCTAAAAAATTTATCACCTGCTATTTTCTGCTCATCCATGCGGCAGATCAGGGCTGGAGGGTTCTCGCCAGAGACGCGCTCAGGCTTCCTTCCAGGCCCCGCGTGGCGGCAGCCGTCCGTCCTCATTAGAGGCTGGCTGAGAGATGGGGTCGCAGCAAAGAGGGGGCTCGGCCTGTTTGGGGATGGCAGGTGGGGGAGGGCGGCGCTCTGTTCCTCTTCCTCGCCTTGGCTGTGTTGGTGCAAGCTGTCACTTGCAAGTACCGGGACTCAGGGGAGCTGCAGGGGACAGATTCATCCCCCAGGGAGTAGCCTGAGTTACTGTCTGCCTTCGGCATGGCTGGGGAAGCCCTGGACTCGGATGGCCCTGGGGAGCATGGGCTGGCCCATCCCCCACCAGCCACAGCGGGCCACGCACGCACGTGGATGCCCGGGTCCTAGGCTCAGAGAGGCCAGGGGCCCAGTCATTGGTTTAGCTGGGTGCTGATCCCTGTGGCTGCTGAGGGGCACAGGCCGAGCCCCAGAATGGGCAGCCTGGGCCCACCCTCTCTCCCTCCCCCCTTCCCCCCCCCCCCCCCCCCCCAGCTCTGGAGTCCTGGCTGCTCTCTTCACCTCACTTAAATGTTTCAAGCGTCATTCTTGGCTTAAAAAGAAGCTGGGAACTCCGGCTGTAAACGGAAACCCAGCACCCTGCACTTGAGAGTCGCCGCCCGGCCGGACACTGAACACGGGTTCAGACTTCAGCAAGGTGGTGCCTCCCACCTGGGCCCCTTGGGAAGGTTCTGGATGGTTTTGAGCGTGGCCTTGGAGTGCTGAAGGAGTGGAGGGGTTTCCGGCAGGGGCTTTGAATGTGGGGGCTGCTGACGTGGTTTCTGCATAGCCAAGAGCTAGGGGTCACTGGACCCTGAGACCCAGAACTTCAGGAATGGGGGTGTTAACATGCCAGGAGGGAATGAGGTGCCTGGCAGGGACTCCCGTGGATTGTCAAATGGCCTGAACCACGAGATACATGTACGTTTTACACGGAAATGCTGTACTGGGCAGCACTGTCTAAGACAGACAGACAGACAGACAGCACTGGCCAGCTGGAGTCACTCTGCCAGATGCTGTGGCCTTGGGAAAGTGACTGACCTCTCTGTGGCCTCGCCTGGGCCGGCCGGTGGGCTGGGAGCCTTGCGGGGAGGTGAAGCGCAGTGTGGCGGGGGAGAGGGTGCGTTGACACAGGAGGGAAGGTGGCGTGGAGGCTGTGTGCCACGCCGACAGGCACGTCTGCGCAGGGCCACCTTGCAGCAGGACGCTCGCTTTGGACCTCGAGTGTTGGTTGCACACCTACTGTGTGCCGGAAGCTCCTAGGGCAGGATGTATAGAATATAGGGTGCGTGGGGCTGGGAAGGTGGCTCAGTGGTAGAGCGCTTGTCTTGCATGCCTGAGGCCCTGGGCTTGATTCCTCAGCACCACATAAGCAGTAAAAGCCCAAAGTGGAGTTGTAGGACAAATGGTAGAGCGCCAGCCTTGAGCTGAAGAGCTGAGGGACTGCGCCCAGGCCCAGAGTTCAAGCCACACAACCAGCCAAAAAAAAAAAAAAAGAAAAAAGAATACACAGCATGTAAGGCATGGAACATGTAGGAAGTCTCCGGCAGTGTGGGAGATGGTCTCGGGATCTCAGGAGAGCAGCTCCTTGGGGCCCAGCCTGCTGCTCCGCTCCGACAGTGTGGGAGATGGTCTCGGGATCTCAGGAGAGCAGCTCCTTGGGGCCCAGCTGCTGCTCCGCTCCGACAGTGTGGGAGATGGTCTCGGGATCTCAGGAGAGCAGCTCCTTGGGGCCCAGCCTGCTGCTCCGCTCCACTCCGCCCCTCCAGTCAGCACATTCCTGCAGGACATTTCCTCCGTCCAGCCCCCCTTGGGGCACTGTCTGAATTCTGGAAGCAGAGATCAGTCACACGTGTCTGACCACCTGTGAAAGAAGATGGGAGTTCTTTATGGGGGATGGAGCGAGCTTCTCGCTCACATAAAAATGTCTGCAAGTTGGTGGACCCGGGTTGGCACGAGTCACAAACTTCCACCCCGCAGCATCTACATTCCAGGTCACCTTGTGCTTCAGAATGGCTGCTGGAGCTCCAGCTATCACAGCCCCGCTCTACGCAAACAGGAGTTGGAGGAGGAAGTTGGGGAAGGGCAGGAGGGAGTGGTGATGCCCTCTTTGAGGACTGTATCCCAAAAGTCTTGGCAATGTGGTCAGAACTTGCTTGTGATCCCAGTAAGGGTGATGGCGGGCACACAAATTTGAATTATTCCAGAAAAGCTTGCCTATTTCTTGCTAGGGTGTGAACAAGGCACAAGTCATTGGGGATCAGCCACACCTCCAGGCCCAGGGGAAGAAGAGGACAAGCCTTTGATCGACCCGGCAGACAGACAGGGCCAGCCGACACAGCATCGGTGACCTCGGTCCACACCACAGGACAGAGAGTGGAGGATTCTTGCAGGCAGGAGGGTAGAAAGTGCAAGGGCCCTGTGGCAGGAGCAGACTCACCAGGCAGCCAGACTTGGGAGTAAAGAGGGGGCAGAGATGAGAGATGAGGGCAGAGAGGACAAGGCCAAGGGCCAGGGCCAGGGGGCCGAGGGAGGGCGAGGGAGGGCGAGGGAGGGCGAGGGCATGACCGTGATAAGTGCGGCATTGACTTCCCTGCCTCTGCCCTTTGTCCCCAGGCCTCCTTCTCACGCCTGGCTGGGGACAGAGCCTGCCTGCGCCTTTGCAGCCCCTGCAGTGGCCTTAGATAATCAGGTGCCACCAGAAGCGGCTGCCCTCTGCCCGCAAGCTGACCTCGCTGCACAGGGGATGGAGATTGCCGAGTGACGCGAGCCGGGGGGTGGGGGTGGGGGGGCACAGGCGGCCTCGGCCCGGGTCTCAGCGCCGTGAAATGTCCACGGGATTATTTAGGCAGCCAGGAGTCGCCAGCCGGTGCGTGTCAGTGCGTGGTGTGTCCCCTCGCTCCTGAGCAAGCCGCGGTGCCCAGTAGAGGGTTTGGGAGCCAGGGCGGCTCACACGCGTTCACACTCGCCTAACACCTTCACCAGCATTCCCTTCTGTTAAAGTTCAGAACTAGCTGGATGCCGGCAGCTCACGCCTGTCATCCTAACTGCCCGGGAAGCTGAGATCCCAGGACTGCGGCTCAAAGCCAGTCTGGGCAGATAACTCTGAGCGTACAGATATATGTTAATATTTTCATGGAGAAAAGAGCCCAAGAGCATAAGGATGGCATCTCCCCTCACCGGTCTCCGCACAACCCCAGAAAAAATGTCCCTGTTTGGAAAGCACAGACAAGGGGCCGAGAACACACAGCCTTCCCCCCCGCCCCCTCCGCCTCTGCCCCCGGGACAGGCCCAGCTGCAGCCTGACACAGAAGCATCCTGCGTTCCAAGGTGCTGTGGTCTCTGCCAAGGGACCATGCCCCAGGGTGCTGGAACACTCTCTGCTACGCTATCTGTTGCCCAGATAAACCGTGGAGGTCAGATGGCCCAGCGATCGGTGTCTGTCTCTCCTGAAAACAGTCAGATAATCCAGAGCAAAGCTAAGCACCCTTCTTGTCCCAAGTGCCAGCCTCCGTCTGTGTGTGTCCTAAGGAAATTTCCCTCCTTCACTCACACCAGTCAAGAAAAACAGCCCATGAGAAGCGTGGCACTGGTACCTCCCATGTTATCCGAGCTCCTCCCAAGGCTGAGATCTGAGGATCGCAGTTCAAAACCAGCCCAGGCAGCAAAGCTTGGGAAGCTTTTTTTTTTTTTTTCTTTGCCAGTCCTGGGACTTGAACTCAGAGCCTGGGCACTGACCCTGAGCTTCTTTTGCTTAAAGCTAGTGCTCTACCACTTGAGCAAAAACCACTTGGGTTTTGAGTGGTTCATTGGAGATAAGAATCTCACGGACTTTCCTGCCCAGGCTGGCTTCAAACCAGATCCTCAGATCTCAGCCTCCTGAGGAACTAGGTGTATAGGCGTGAGCTCAGCGCCTGGCTCTATGAGCCTCTTCAACAATCCAGCAAAAAGCCAGAAGTAAAGGTGTGTTTCAGGTGGTAAAGTGCCAATCATTTTTTTTGTTTTTGGTCCAGTTGTGGGGCCTGAACTCTGAGCCTGGGCGCTGTCCCTCAGCTCTTCAGCTCAAGGCTAGCGCTCTACCACTTGAGCCATAGCACCACTTCTGGCTTTTTTTTTTCTTTTTGCTTATGTGTTGCTGAGGAATCGAACCCGGGGCCTCATGCATGCAAGGCAAGCGCTCTACCACTGAGCCACCTTCCCAGCCCTAAAGTACCAAACTTGAGTGAAAAAGCTAAGGGACAGTGCCAAGGTACCACCCCAGGTCACACACATACACAGCTGTCAGGTGTCCGATGGTCGGGTAGTTAGGGGCCGTCCGGGTCACAGGCACAGTGGCCTCACCTCTGACCCTCAGAGGGAAAGTTTGTTCTGTTTTAGCGTCCATGCCCCCAGATTTGTGCTGATTGAGTAAGTGTAGCTTCGTGCACACTGGGAAAAACGCCTTTTTTTATTTCTTCCCTTTGGGCTGTCAGCGCTGTTGTGGCAGGCCTTCAGTGACAAAGGTCCCTGTCCCCTGGGAGGCTACGCACGGCCTGCTGCAGGGATGCCCGTGGTGACCTCATGCTGGGCACAGGAAATCCTACGGATCTAGTGGACAGGCCCCACTGTCCTCCAGCCTGGAGGCTGGAGCCCTGGAGGGCATGGGATCTGCGTGGTGCTAAAGCCAAGCCTCGTGGGGAGGGGGCTCCGGCTGGCACGCACCTCTTGCACACGGCCCTGGCTGGTGCACACCCAGGAGCTCTCCAGATGCAGCGTGGCCAGCAGCAGGCATGGCTTTGGGGGCAGATACGGCGTGAACTAGGAGAAGTGGCCCATGCGGGGCCCGTGGGTTGGGAAATCCTCGGCAAGGTTGGGCCAGGTTTGGTGGAACCAGGTTTCAGCAAGAGTGAACCATTCTTGGGAGCATTCCAAATAAAACAGAGTCTAATCCTCCCCCAGCTCACACCGTGGTTTGCCTTAAAAAGAAAAAAAAAAAATCCCTCTGTATAGATTAATACTCCGCAGAGCAGACACTGTTTATACATAAAACAGTTGCCCCTCTGTGTGCGTGCTGACCAGTACCAGATGCAGGTCCACCCTGGAGTCTGTCCATGAGTGCATCTGCAGGTGCGGGGTGGATGAGTTAGGTGCTCCTCTGGCCCAGGGCAGCTCCTCCCCACAGCCGGGCCCCCCTCTCCCCCCCCCCCCCCCCCCGTGGCCTGCTCACGCATCCCTGTGTTTGCAGGTTCCATGCAGGTAATGAACAAGACGAGGCGGATCATGGAGCAGGGGGGCGCGCACTTCGTGAACGCCTTCGTGACCACGCCCATGTGCTGCCCATCCCGCTCCTCCATCCTCACCGGCAAGTACGTGCACAACCACAACACCTACACCAACAACGAGAACTGCTCCTCGCCGTCCTGGCAGGCACAGCATGAGGGCCGCACGTTCGCCGTGTACCTCAACAACACCGGCTACCGCACGGGTGAGTGGCGGGGGGCGGAGTCCGGAGGCAGGGGTACCGGCGTCATCCGGGCTGTACGGGGAACGGCTTGCATGGCCCCTCCAAGCCCCATGTTGATTTACTCTTGTGGTGGTTGTCGATGGTGGGGCTTGAACTCAGGGCCTGGGCACCGTCCCCGAACCTCTTGGTGCTCCAGGCTAGCGCTCTACCACTTGAGCCACAGCGCCACTTCGGGCTTTTGAGTGATTAGATGAGGGTAAGAGTCACGCGGGGACTTTTCTGTCCCGGCTGGCTTCAAACCGTGATCCTCAGATCCCAGTCTCCTGAGAAGCTAAGTTCACAGGCATGATCTACCAGCACCCGGCTCCGTGTTTATTTTTGAGTGCAGAAAATGAGGACCACGCAGTTTGCTATCAGTAGTGATTTAAAATAGAAGAAGAGGAATTCTATTGGAAGTAGGAACTGGATCCCAGGCCATCCACCCAGCCGCAAGTTGTGTCATCTTAGTAAGTTAAGAGGACTTTGGTTGACTTGGACTTTCAGCATGAAGGAAGGTGCCAGAACATTAAGGCTAGGGGTGGAGAGGAGGAGAGGCGGGACTTCCGCTCTAGTGGTTGTAATCTGGAAGGCATCATTGAGCATGGAAGTGACCTTTGTCCCCACTGACCCGGCCAGCGTCACCTGCGGGCAGTGACCCCAGCATCCTGGGAGTGTGGCTCTTTGCAGGTTCCATGGGCTGCACAATGTCCAGTGGAGGCAGTCCAGCCCGGTGCAAAATCCTCCAGACTCCCATCAATTGGACTTGCTTGAATTCAAATGAATAGAGGCAAGGCAGTGGTGAAAGCCAATACCATGGCTCAGATGCTGACATCATGGTCTAGGGGTTGATGCGGTGGCTCAGATGCTGACATCATGGTGTAGTGTTGATGCGGTGGCTCAGATGCTGACATCATGGTGTAGTGTTGATGCGGTGGCTCAGATGCTGACATCATGGTCTGGTGTTGATGCGGTGGCTCAGATGCTGACATCATGGTCTAGGGGTTGATGCGGTGGCTCAGATGCTGACATCATGGTCTAGGGGTTGATGCGGTGGCTCAGATGGTCAAGCCATCTGGGGAGATGCATGTATGTGGAGTGTGTGTTTGGATAGGGGGACCAAGGCAGGGTGAGACCCCCACCAGGAGACCCACATGCTCATTCCACTGCAGAATGGCCTGGGCTGGGACGGGGGAGGCACGGGGAGGCCCGCACCTTGCTTGGGCTGTTCAGCTGTCTGTTCTATAGACACGTGATTCGATTTCTTTCGGCTGGAGTTTGAACCCAGAGCCTTATCTTTGCTAGGCACACACTTTACCACCTGAGCTCCAGCCCCAGCAGCCCCCTTGGTTTCTGACCTCTGCCAGGCCAGGCTAACGGGTGATTGGAGGCCAGGGCATCATGGGAGGTGTGGGGGGATGGAGAAGGGACAGGCTGGGTCGCAGTCCGGCGGCAGCCCCGACCAAAGGAGGCCAGGTGGCTGGGCCCAGGAATGATTGCTTCTGCCCATCTCTTAGTCCCTGCTTGGCTGTGCGTGGATGGGCCCCCTAGCCACTGTGCTGCAGGGGTCCCGCCACGAGACCTCCAAACTCTGCACATGGCATGGGCTGTGCTGAGTGCGCGTCCCAGCTCTGCCGCCGCCTGGCTGTGAGCTGTCCTTGGTTGCCCGGACATGGCTAACAATGTCACCGAGCTCCTGGATGTCACAAAGCCAGAACGGGGGGTACAGTAGTGGCTGGCTCCCGGGAAGCATGTGGGGAGTGCGATATGACAGCGATTCTCCCAGGGACACAGCATCACTCTGGCCGCCTCGGCCAGTGAGCTGGTGGTGGAGGCAAACCCAAGAGCACGCACCGAGCCTCTCAGGTGCTCAGCCAGCCGCCCCACTCACCAGAGCAGACACCAGCAGGCCCGCCACACCGGATGCATGCCGGAACACTGGCTTTGCATAGATGCAAATGAGCTCCTGCACCTGCTAGGACAGTGTGCTGAAAATGCATGCCTTGTCCCATTCAGCAATTCCGCTCTGGCTGGGTGCCCTCCGCTCTGGGGAGACTGTGGTCCCATGTGAGCCGGAGGCAAGGGTGTCGCTTGGCTGCTCTGTGTGCTCATGGTGGATGCTCAGGGACAGTAGACTGACTGCAATCCAAGCGCAGCAACCCAGCTGCAAGTGCGCTCAACAAGTCATCGAATGAGAGTGCTGTGATTTCATCAGAAGGCTCAGGGATCTCCCAGGAGACTGGCACCCACCTTAGGGCCTTTGCACTTACCCTTCCCTCCCCATCACATGCATGGTCTGCTCGCCTCCACCCCATCCACCCGGTGCCTCCTCCCAAAAGCCTTCTTTGACTTTCTCCGTGCCCACTCTGTCTCCTTACTTGCTTTCTTTTCCTGTCGGGTGCTTGATGTCCTTTAATACGCATTTATGGGTTTGTCTATCATCCGGGTCCCCTTCCTGTGCCCCTTGTCCTGGTCTTACTTCCTGGATGTGGCTGCCACGGCTGTGCGTGGTGGTGTCACTTCTAGATTGCCAGCTCCGTGTCTCTCCAAGGTGCTCACCCCATAGCAGGTGCTCAGAGCAGATGGATGCACCCTCCATCCAGGGCCTGCAGCCACGCCATCCCTTCCTTTCTCCTTCCTCCCCGTCACCCCCTGCCCACCCTGTCCTCTCTTCTTCCTCCCCCCTGCTGCTCACAGAGAAGAGGGGCCTCACAGATGCCCGGCCGCCCTCTCTGGGCCCCTGGCCCAGCTGTCCCTGCCTTTACAATGGCAGCCTTCTCTGGCCCCTTGGCTTCAGTCCTGCTGTGACTCCCGGCTCTCTTCCTCTCCCTTCGAGTACACAGGGCACGCACAGTGCATACACAGTTCCCTTTTTCCCTCTGCCCAGCTGCCCCTTGTCCACCCACCACCGCTGTGGCCCGGTGGTGTGACAGGATGTCCCTGTCCACCCTGGAAGGTGAGCTCCTTGATGGCAGGGGCTTCCTGGCCCTCCCTGTACCCGGGGCCTGGCCTCCCCCTCTCATGGAGGTCTGAGCCTCAGCTAGAGGCCCACAGCCCCGCCAGGGACCCAGCTGGCCAGGGCAGCGACCAGAGGCCAGGGCTGGGTTTTTCCCTCTGTGTTTCTCACCCACCGCACCATCAGCTCGTTGTCCTTCAACTCTGATGCCTGCTCCCGGGCTCCAGCACCTTCGGGTTTCAAAGCAAGCCAAGCACAGGGGCCAGAAAGCGAGGCTCGCTCCCTGGCTCCCTCAGTCTTGCTTTCTCCTCTGTACAACACTGTTGCCACATCGGTGGGAGTTACCCAGTGGCAGTGGGGTGGCTGGCATCCCCAGACCCGGAAGGAGAGGGGGGCCCTGGATGGGAGAGGAAGCTCCACACCGAGGTGAGGTGTGGCTCAAAGCCCTCTGCCCTTGTCCCTGGTGGCGGTCAGTTTCCAGACTGGGTGCACCAAGTAGACTCACTGAGTGGCTACAAACAAGAGATGTCCATCTTCCATACCACACAAGCTGGAAGTCTACCCGAAGTCCCCAGGCTCTAGGGAGAACCCCCCCCCACCCCCCCGCCTCTGCCGGGTGCCCAGCTGTCCTTGGCTTGTGGCCGTGTTGCTCCAGCCATCGCCTCTGCCTTCTCATGCTCTTGTCCCTGGTGTGGTGTGACTTACCTTCACACAAGCCACTGTTGGTGAAGTCCCAGTCCCTGGGGTGAGGGTCCAGCCCCCAGGGTGAGGGCCCAGCCCCCGGGGTGAGGTTCCAGACCCCGGGGTGAGGTTCCAGACCCCAGCATGAAGGCCTGAGTGTGAACCTAGGTGGGGGGCAGGGTTCATAGCTCAGCCTAGGCATCCACCTCCGCGGAGACAGTGAAGCCTGTGGTCCAGCCGAGGCCATCCCATGGCCATCGAGGGCACAGGGCCCACCGGGCACCCTCCTGCTGAGTGCTGGCCATGGCTGGCTTCGTTCTACCATGTCGTCTGCTCACCCACGCCCCCAGCCACCACCATCCACCCTGCCCCTCCAGTTAGAGTCCCCAGCTCAGGGGCAGCCACCAAGCGCCCTCCTGGGACCCGTGTGTCTTGGCCAGCTCATGGCAGGCTGTGTGGTTCCACCTATGCAGCGGGAGTGGAGGCAAGGAGAGGCGCAGGGGCAAGGGGTCCCAGCACCCTCCTCCCTGCCTCCCCCCCAGGCCGAGGAGGAGCCTGTCTCTGTTCCCCCATGAACCGGGGGCTGCCAAAGCTGGATGCCAAGGGGGACCGGAGCAGGAGTGTGAATCAGCTGTGTGGGCTAGTGGGGCAGGGGGTAGGCCTCAAAGGTGGAGTTTGAACTCTGCTTTAAGACAACAAGAAGAAGGAGCAAGCCGGGAGCTGGTGGCTCACACCTGTGAACCTAGCTACTCCAAAAGCTGAGATCTGAGGATCTTGGTTTGAAGCCAGCCCAGGCAGGAGAGTCAGTAAGAACCTTATCTCCAGTTAACCAGCCAAAAGCCACAAGTGGAACTGTGGCTCAAGTAGTAGAGCGCTAGCCTTGAACAACAACAAAAACCCTAATGGACAGTGCTCAGGCTCTGAGTTCAAATCAAACTAAAATAAAAAACAAGGAACTAAACATCAGGCAGACCCACAGCGTGAGCTAGACCTAGGCAAACGGTTTACAAGTTTTCTTTTTCCTAGCCTGGGGGGAGGATGGCGCCCCCTGGGGGTTAATATCCATGAGTGTGTTTCTGATGGTCATGCGGGTTGTGGGCTTGAGGTGGACGTGGACAGCTTGCTCTGCAGAGCCAAGGTTTTAGTCTTTTCCAACATCTTTCGAGTGTTTATTTTTAGCTGCGCCTTGAACCTAAGTCTTTTGCATATAAACATGGAAGGGTTCGGCGGTTTATATATACCCGGAATTTCTCAGGAATGGAAGGAATATTATAATCGCATAGCAAACTTCCCCAAGAGTTGTTCTTTATCTCTGAAAAGCCCTGTTTCTTGCTGCAGTGACATCCGA